TATTATAGTCATTTATGAGTCACATTCTACCGTGTCAGCTGTAATAGTTGCCACAGTTGTTCAAGGGTAGAAATTTTTATCTCCAGGTTATAGATGAGACTAAGGGTCAGAGAGTAAAGACCAGACTTCAGTAAGATCACGTGAGTAGAGTTTAAGATGTTCTTAGAAGGAAAGTTAATCAATATATTTAATTGATTTTTTTTTTTAACCTCAGTCTTTGCTAAATTGAGGAATATTCTCCATTTTCGGGCTGCTTTTGTTTTTTTTTAAGCAGATGGGTTGAAAATACTGGACTCAGTGGTTCATATCAGGCCCCAGTTGATAAAATACTTGTAAGAAAATTGTCAGAAATGCAGTACAATGGTTTGTTTTTAGTTTTGGTCTTTACAATCTTAAATTTTTTAAAAATATGATGGCTAAAAAACGAATCAAGTACATGGAGATTCTGCCATGAGAGGGCATCTGAGGATGTCCAAAACCCTCCTGGGGGGGAGGGGTAGAGAAAGGAGCGGGGAGGGGAAGGAGTGAGAGTTGTGTGTGTGTGCGCGTGCGTGTGTGCGTGTGTGCGTGTGCATATGTGCATGTATGTGTGTGCGTGTGTGTATGTGCATGTGTGTGCATGTGTGCATGTGTGTGTGCGTGCATGTGTATGTGTGTGTGTGTGTTCATTCTACTGCGTAAGACTTACGTGCAGGTACAAACTGTGTGCTAGGGGTTACAGTGGGCATATAAAATGTGGTATCTGTGCTCCATCTTGGCAATTCGAAGCACTGGGGAGAACTTACTAGAGATACAGGGTATTTTTTTGTTTTGTTTGTTTTCTTTTTGCCTAATGCTGTTAAAACTTAAAAGGAGAGAAACCGAAATAAAACAAGCGTGACTCTTACAAAGCGGATTATACATTGCTAAATTTAATACAACGGTTTGTTTATTGCAAATGTGAAGGACAGTGATAAAAAGAACCCAGCTCTTAAGGAGTTTATAGATTTAAGAAGGGTTTGGATATGAAAACAGTGAAACCAGATTTCCAAGAGAGAGCAGACTTAAATGCGTTCTGTCATAGAAATTCCAGCAACATGCCATGGAAGAAAGCAGGATTGTTAAGACTTCAGTAAAAGGGAAGTTGCATTAAGCCGAGTTGGATGTCAGTTGGTGGCCAGGATGATGAAAGATGTGTCTTGAAAAGGATGGAAATGCTCGCTGCACTCAGGCGGTGGCGAACAGTAGGCCTCTGGAGCAGAGAATGCACTCCGAGATGTAGAAAAGAGAGGCCAGGGGAATAGCAAACAGCCACGTGGAGACCCATGCTTAGAATTTGGGGTTAAATTCATCGACCAGGGGAAGCAATTAAATATATTTGACGATGGGTGTGATATAATTCAATGTATACTTTAGGGAGATGATTTCTGACACTATGACAGCTTAGATGATGCGAGTTATTGGAGGTGGAGTATAACTGGGGGGTTTTGGAATAGTCCAAGTGAAAGATTTTAGGGTTCCAAATCAGGGTTATTGTTCAGATAGAGAGACTGAAAGGCAAAGGTTGGTATTTTAGTGATGATGGCATATATTCTATCAAGCGGGGAATGAGGGAGCCATAATGAACTGTTAAGCCTATTTCAGGGTGCCTGTAAAGTGTGCTTTGCATTCGTGGCCTGTGTAGATTATGAAGAATCCAACACAGTTTGATACGTTTTACATTGTTACCGTACACAGTGCTGACATAGTGACTTATGAGTCACATAATGATTGCATCTCCTTCCCTGCTCCTTCTTTCGCCTTATGAGCTAGACTCAGCTAAGGGATCTGTGCCCCTCACTGTTTGTGCTCATTTGCAATAACAATGATAATTATAATGATGACGATGACGTTTTAAATATTTACTTAGGAGTCACAACAAATATTTTGAAAAGGATTTAGAAACTCAGGTAGTAAAGGTGAGTTTTGTCCAACGATTAATGAATCTAAATTTTGTTGTTATTTAGATGAATCACGAGATGTTTACAAGGGCATATGCAAGTGAAGTAGACGTAGCATTGTGAGTCGTACTTTGCCCCAAATAGAGTATGAGTATTTATTTGTTGTTGTATTATGTTCTTCGTTTATTTTTTATCAATTCCTTTATTATGTTGTGGGACCTTAGAATGTTTTGTTTGTTTGTTTCTTTGTTTTTCTGCCTGGCCAGAGATTTTCAGTGTGGAGAGTGGTATTTCTCCATTCCATAACAGTCACTCACAAAGAATGTGCGCGCGTGCGTGTGCATACAGGCTTGCGCCTGCGGAGACACACGTGCCACCTTAAGAGGGCCTGTCGTTCAGTAAGTCTACACTTGCCAGGTTTTTCTTTGCTGAGCATACTTTTTCAGAACAGAACAGCAGTTTTTCACTAACAGCAAGGGTTTCACTCAGCCTGTTAAGACTGGCATAGTGCACATAGGCTCGCAGAGGAAATGTCTGAATGCATCCGATAATTATGTATCCACTTGAACATTGCAAAGTCGATCATCCACCTTTAACTGCAGATGCTTATTCTAACCTTGCAAGGACACTGAGCCTAGACTCAAAGCAATTTTCTGCTTTTGAGTTTTGGCAATGATTACGAGCCTAGTGATGGTCCAAGCTGGGAGAAAAGTGTCAGAGATGTAACTGTGGTACATCTCAAGGGCTCTTGAAAAGATATGTGTGCGTGCATATGTGTGTGTGTGTGTGTGCGTGTGTGTGGCGAGGGGGACTTAGAAGAGAAGGAGTCTGATCCTTGCATAATTGGAGATGCCGTGAAAACAGCTATCAGTTGACAGGAATTCAATGAATTGGAAGGGCTGGTTCTACAAATGGGAGTCCCTAATAAGATCTAGAGAGACAGCAAACCTCTGATTAAGAACACGACCTGTGCATTACTTGGGTATTTCTAGGTCATGAGATCATCCCTGCCAGTGGTCATGTGGCGACAGTCCTAAGCCTTCGAGGCACAGATGAGGGCAAGGAGGGGTTAGGGGAGTGAAAAGTGTATGTGCTGGGGGTCCTCGAGGTGCTAGCAGCTGAAAAACAACTGATTTTCCTCCATCATCTGCCTTTGTCTGAGGACTCAAGTTTTTTGCTGTGTCGTTGAGGGTGGTCGTGTTTGTCTCTGTTGCATGAGGCCAGGAAAGGACCCTTCCTGTAAGCTGTTAACTGTGCCGATGAGAACCACCAAAGCCCTGACTTTCTTTAAGATTTGGGGAGCGGTCAGGAGGGGGTGGGTTGCACATACTGCTCTTTCCCGGCATTCTTTACAGCAGGTTGTGGTGTTCCCACCTCACAGGACAGCTGCTCCTCTCTCAGAGGGAGGACCCCGTGGTAGGACGCGGAGGCCGAGCTTCCACCACCCTGCCTGGTTCACTATGCTGGCGCAGCCACGCAGAGCACCCAGCCTTGCTTTACTTCGGTTTCCTCATCTGTTTAGAGGGATTATAAGGTCAGCCATTAATGAGCGTGGAAGGAGTTACTATGTAGAGAACAAATAACAAGACTCTAAACATGAGTTTTCATAGAATAAATCCAGACTTCTTTATGTACCTGGCACATAGGAAGCACGCAGTCATTCAAACTGAATCAATCTCTTTTTTGTAGTCTTAAATTAAAGGGAGATGTATATGCAATCGTCACCCTGAGAATGACTTTAGAAAATTAAATAATTCACTACATTTCGAGAATATAACTTCACATGCTGTGGGTAAACATGCGGCACAGTGAGGCACTGGAAAATTCCACACCGGACAAATCTAAATTACAACCATAGTAGAAATTTGTTTTTGTATTATTCAGTCCAGACTAAAAACTGCAGAAACCCAGGGCTACATCAGGTATTTAAGTATTCCGAAGCAGAATATAAACACAGTGCAGCAGAAGAATCACTTCCAGAAATTAGTGCAAAAAGGGGCACCCTCACCGGCCCCCGCAAAAGGACGACACTGCCCCGGGCACCCACCTTCCAAAGCAGCTCTCCATGTTTTATATTTTTGGCACCTTGTCTTTTAAAGAATGCAAACGCAGTTCTGTAGGGCAGTGAAAAGCCTTGTTATTTGGTAAATTGGTTTTTTTTTTTCCCCCATTCATATTAATCGAAGTCCAGAACGATGGCAGTTACAGGGGATGAAAGATTTCTGAAATGACAGATGGAGTCCTGTATTTCTCAGGTTGTGAAGTTCAGGAAAATGTGTAATTATTTCTGAGTTTCCTCAGGTTCCTCTGTTTGACATAATGTGCTGACATATAGACGGGACAGCTCCAGATATGAAATGCAAATCAGGAGTCCTGCCCTGCCGCTGATGCGGGGGTTAATCATGCAAATCGAATGCAGTTCTTGGTATTTCAAGAAAGGTTTTTTTCGAAGTCTCAGGCACATATTGATTTAAAATTCTGACTTCAGAGAACAGTGTAATTTTTTTTTTTTTCAGCCCCAAATTTTTAGAATTGTGGAACAGGATTCAAGACCGATTTAGTGATGGACATTCATCCATCCATACTTGATAATCATGAAAAAGGGGGTGGGGGTGGGGGGAAGGGCACCCTTAAAGAATGCAGCGATTTCTAAGCATATTCAATACTACATTAGGTCTAAATTTGCAAATGTTCTATAGCGAGCCCCTTTGCTTGGAATAAGATCAAATCAACCAATTATACGTGTTTACTGAATGTCTACTCTGTTCAAAGAAGATGGCTAACCTGGCAAAGACAAACCAAATCAAAAAATAACACTACAACAAGTTCATAACTTTGGGAATGATATAAAATACCTTTGGAGAGGAGACTGTTTACAGGAAGAAATGAAATTGTCTTGCTCACCAGCACAAGCTGACACATTCTAATAGCCTTTCTGCTGCGCGCAGTAAGCATCAGCTTATCTTTCCAAGAACAATAAAATTTCATGTACCGCTGCGTGACATAAGAATTATTTTTACATATCTCTTTATCACGGACTCTCTTGTAAGTTAATCTCATCTCACATGAATTTTTCACCAGCTTCACTCCGATGTTGATAAAGGAGATGGTTCCATCAAATACATCTTGTCAGGCGAAGGGGCAAGTTCCATTTTCATTATTGATGAGAACACTGGGGACATTCATGCCACCAAGAGGCTGGATCGTGAGGAGCAGGCCTACTACACACTCCGAGCCCAGGCGCTGGACAGGCTCACCAACAAGCCCGTGGAGCCCGAATCTGAGTTCGTCATCAAGATTCAGGACATCAACGACAACGAGCCCAGATTCCTGGACGGCCCGTACACAGCCGGAGTTCCCGAGATGTCTCCTGTGGGTGAGTAAAGCACATACTGCCTTTGCAGCATCTGGTTCTAGGGGGGTTTATATTTAAAATGAAAGCATCCTAAGTCCTGAAAAAAATCACATAACATTTGCGGAGCAATTGCTGACGGAAATGCTGGAGACCTGTTAGGTGCCGGTACGCAGATCCTTTTATTCAAACACATTACTTTATGGGAAGTCGGGACGTTGTTCCTTTTACACAGCTGTCTCAATGCTTTCAAGAAATTACTTAGGTCTTACATTCCCTTTGCAATTTAATTTTTTTTTAATGATTAAAATGATGCCTAAGAAGTTCAAAAAGACAATCCTTCCAGACACAGCCAGTGATGATCTACTCTTCTTTCTCCTGATCTTAGGATAACAATGCACTATTCTAAGCATCTCTCTGCGGCCAAGGTATGAGGCAGGTCCTCAGTGGCTTAGCCCGGCTATCATTCGGATCTGTCGGTTTATTTGCTGTAGAGTATTCTTGAAACCACAAATCTCCATCCACATGCCACCACTAATCTTTTAAAACATTTCTCCAGAAACTAAAATGCGTAGAAATTTATACTGAATTTATAATAATGGTAAAGCGATCCTCAGTTTGAGAGAGAAAAGAATGATGAAAGCTGTTTTGCTCAAAAGCCCTTCGTCATTGCCGCGTAAATGGAAAAACAGAAAGTAAAGTGCTTCTAGTATATACTTTATCTACATTAAATAATATTAAAGTCTGCTTTAAATTCCATATATTCAGGTAGCTTTGGAGTAGTTTTCAGCCAGTATGTAATTTAAGTTTGGACGTTCTTATAGAACAATAAAACATTTCAGGGCTGGAATAGAGACCCGGTGATTTATGTGTTTATTTACTGTTGTTTTCAGTATCGAAGGAAGACGTTTATTTAAAATAATTGAACTGACATTTTAACCCTTAAATGTTTACCCAGTGTGATTTGCTTTAAATAAAGACCATTTCATTTATTCCAGTATTTAGTCAACACCTCTTCTGTGCAGAGACGTGGATTGTGTGCGCCCTTTTGGGGAATCACAGTGTCGTGACCCTAGACTTCTGTCTCTTCCACATGGGGGAGGGAAAATTATCTGGGGCACCATGGCCCTCGCTGCTAAAGAAATCCAAAACGACAATGAGCCAGAGGAATCGGGGTTTGCAATGACAGCATTCCGCTCTAGTCTCTGCAGGCGTTTCTTTGAGCAGACAGGCTTCTTCGTGCTCTGACTGTACCGCCCACACCTCCAGAGGGCTTCCTGTGTTGTTGCTTCCCTAATGTAACAAACACAACAGTGGGGACAGCAGCAACAACAAGAGTTTAGAGGAAAGAGCAGGTACATTGTCTTCCCCAAAGTAGAATATAAAAAAAAAAAAAAACCCAGGAAATTTTGAAGAGTGCTTGAACAGTTCAGGTCAACACCATCGTTCTCGAGGGCATTCTGGGTGCTCTTCGTTGGCTTGCTAAGGTTTTTCTTTCCTACATAGAACATAAAAGTGCAGATTGCATTCATGTGAACTTTTCATTTTAGAGGCTGAATGAGGCACGGTAGCTTTGATTTCAACAATATCACTCTGATATCAAACATGATTATCATGCACGTGTGCAGAGTTATTTTAGACATTTGATTTGTTCCAGTGGGTTTAGAACGTTTTAAACAATGATTTTCAAGAGTCTTTAGGATTTACTTGGCACTAATTGGGATCACTAGGTTAAAATCAACATTTGAACAAAGAACAATGACCGCCTACATAAAATATGTTATATGAATTTTTTAGCGAACCATTCTTTATGAAAGTATCTAATTCTAACTCAGTTATTATAATAGTCACTAAATGGTATGGTATATACAACACAAGCTTCCACTGTTTAATTTAGGGCTATTTCGTTTTTGACATGCCTACTAATTGTAAGATTTAAAACAATCATAAGCCCTTAGGGGGTGGTTCATTCATTGCCAAAGAGCATAGGTAAGCGTGAGAAATGCTAAGCTATTTGAGAATATGTGTGCGTGTATACAGTAAATTAATAATCACTTTAGAAAAATAGATATTATACAACCAAGTTTCCCGAAGTATACTTTTCATCATTTTGTTTAAAGTTCTTTTTGAATGAAGTAAGAAATCAGTATTGAAGCCTATTATCAGAATGAATATTGCCGTGAAGATGGTGCATTATAGCAAATATAGAAAATATCAATGTCGTTGATTCTAACATTTTCAAATAAATCAAAATTTAATTCTTAAAACGATTTTCAAATATACATCCTTCATTATTTGGTCCTACAGGTATCCACAGGGCATATCCACCTAAGTCCATTAAAAAACAAACGAAAACAACAACTAAATCTTCAGAATTTTAAAAAAATGGTACCATGTACATTAGTTCACAGTATCCACCCAATTTTAAAGAAAATGGAATCGATAAGGGAAATTATAGTGTGGAGAAGAGAATAGATTTGTAACAAAATAGAAATTAATAACTTATTGAAGGCATTTATAAAGGGAAATCTGTGTAGGAATATAGCTAAAAGAGATGCTAGATTAAAATGCCATATTTTGAAGAAATTATTAGAGCCAGACTTGAACCTTGGAAGAATACATTAAAAAGGGAATTTGTCCCATCCCCATAAGAAAGGACATAAATGGCTTAGCATGTGCTTGAATCATAAATGAAGCAAATATGAGTAGCTAATGTTTTTAAGATGATATTCTAAGTGGAAATAAAAAGAATAGAGTGCAGTGAATGCTCTCCATAGAGAATAGGTGAATATGTGGTAAAATGAAGAAGCAATATGACATTCTATCATGAAATGTGGAAAAACAACTAATAATGCAATTTTAAAAATTGCCATGTTTTTCCTCCTTTGGGGAATTTGGTTTAAATTTTCATTTCATGCTTTTCCTTTAAATCAATTAGTAGAAACAAATGAAAAAATAAAGAAACTATTACTGAAGAGATAGGGTAGCCAACTAATATCTAGTTAACTCTATTAATCCAATATTCTTTATTTAATTACTGAAGTTTCTGCCTGGCTCTACTGAGCACCAGCAGTGAGATAGACCCCTCAATACTTTGGGTGTCAGGATGCTATTCTTTGTCACGCTGCCTCCTAGTCAGTAATGGAGACTTATAAAGACTGCTCTTGATAAAAACTTGTTACCCGACACTGATGGATGAGATGCCGAAAATTTGAATCCCATCCAGTTCTAAGTATATCCCATTCTAACATGCATCATCAATCTTATATTTTTACCAACCTATTTTCATACCCCTTAAATATTCCTGGGGGCTTAATTAGCATTTATCGTCTTTTTGGATTTGTGTTATACAAAAGATGTGATATCAAATTTTCATGTGCCTTGAAACAAGAAAAATGCAGAATTAAAAACACATCTAAAGCAGAATCGTCAGCATTTTATGCGTTCTTGTGTTCTGTAGCATTTGGAAGTCTTTAACTCATTGGTTTTTGGGTTGGCACATAGGGACCTCAGTGGTACAAGTGACAGCGACGGATGCTGACGATCCTACTTATGGCAACAGTGCCCGAGTGGTCTACAGTATCCTGCAAGGACAGCCATACTTCTCAGTGGAACCCAAGACAGGTAAAAATTGAAATGTGTCACTCCTTGTAAAGTCATCACTTCTGTCTTGGCATAGAATTAATATTAGCAATTATTACTCGGTGTACTTGGCACTGGTAACATGTTTATGGTGTTTCTCTCAATATGTGTATTATGGTTTTAAGTAGCATATTATTTATAGAGGCAATAGCACCCTTTAAGAATATTATAGTAGTATTCCTACCTATAAAATATTTTATATTACAAAGTATTTCCCCTGCTATCTTGTGATTCTATAAGAAAACATTGATTATTCACTTTTCAGTTTTATTTTTGGTTTCTTTAGTTATTTCACATAGGAATTATATATAATAAAATTTAATTTTCAAGCAGAAATCTCCCTGCCAGGCATTAGAATAGCTGGTAGGTTCAGCTTGTCCTTCCACAGGCTGGATTTCCCAGAGAAATTAGTTTAAACATAACAAACAAGATGATCATCTCCTAAACCAAAAACTAAATTAAAGGACTATTTTTTTAATTTTAGGAAAAAATATTTGAGTCACAAAGCTGCCTGGATAGAATATGTGTGGTTTGGCTAGACATTATGTTTTGCTTTCAAGCTGAAATAGTTTACATTAAGTTAGAGTACAATTCGGAGCACTGTTATTTTGGTTACAAATATTTTATTGATTGTGCGTGTCTGGTTCTGTGTGTAGGGGGGAATGGGCAGGTGTGAAGATGGGTGGGCGTGTGCCATGGAATTTCTTCACCATAAAAATCCAAAATGTTTCTATATGTTAATAACTTCACCTTTATCATGGAGAATTCTCCAACTAGCCAAGTTTGCAATTATGAATATTTGATAGTACCTATGACCCTAAATGAATATTTTAATGTCTCTTGTCCTGTTTTTCATATTTAAAGAAAAAGGCAATATTCATTCTCAAATCACTGTGGGGATTAATGTTTTAAATGTCTTTTGAGAACGACAGTTGTAATCATGCATGAACAGAAAAGTAAATTTAATCTTAGCTCATCATTCATTAGAATTTCAGAGAGACTGCATTGAATATTTTACACCAAGATAGTGGTAGAGTTAGGAAGCTCCCTGGAAAGTCTAACAGAGAAGAAACAATTCTGATCAAGCGAGTATTGAAGAAGTGAAAGTATGCGATGTGCAGTACGAATCCTGTGAACACAGGTGTGCTTGTGGTTGATCCAACGATAGGTCCGAGATACCTAAATTCAAACACTACCCATCCCCCTGATACACCTACCCTGTGCAGCCTCCAAAGACACTGACGTGTTTCCAGCAATTTGCTCACAAATTATACACTCTTGAGTTATATAACCTGTCTAAAAATAGCATGTACTCATGCCGAGGTTTAAATATTGTGCTGTTATTCATGATTGGCTTGTGATTTTAGCTTCGTTGAAAGATAATAGGTTTTTTTTGTAAGCCCTGTGTAGGTAAGGCCTCACTGATTGATTATCTGGGCAGTAGACTGTCGTGTGGGATCACATTATTAGTACTTCAAACTTAATTTCATTTCAGATTCTCAAGGATCGTGCATCACAAAGATGAATAAAGTTCAATTTTGTTTTGTTTAGAGTTTTTAGTGCTGTAATCATTGGGGCTTCTCTTTCTATAGTCATTAGAGCAGAGCTGTTCTGGGAATATTTGTCCTCTCTGCTAATGCATAATATAAGAATGTACTTTTTGAAAAACATGTATTTTTCTGACAAAACTGGAAAATTTGCAGATCTTAAGAGCATGAAGAGCCGTAAATTAAATTGGAATTAGACTTCTTTACTTGGTGTCAGCATGATTCTTATCTATGTGAGAAATAACATTATTTTATTTATCTCCAAATCTAATGACTTTGAGAAGAAAGTAAAACTTTTGACAGGAAAAAAATGCCGAAAATAAGCTCAAGCAAGATTATGTAAACAACAGCAACAAAAAAGGACCAAGAAATCACTGTTAGGTGTATCTCTATAAATATGTTTAACTTCTAATTTCTTTTTTCTTTTCAAAAAGAGAATAATAAATTTATTCTTATTATGAATAGGATAATATTAATGATATCTGTTACTATTTATTAGTCACATATTATTAACCTAACATGGCTAAAAACTCCAAGCCCATATTCCTTCTGTAGCTTACAGGCCAAATGACCAGAGGGCAGCTGTATTTTCTCTTAATTTCTCCATTCGCAAAACAAGATGTGGGTAGCTGCAGAAACCAATGTTGACAGTTCACTTCCACAGCAAACAGAATGGCACTAGAAGCAAGATAATGCAGTGTGGAAGGGACTGCAGAGATTCCTGTCACCTCTCTTCACAGCGTCCCCCAGTTCGCTGAGAGACTGAAGATTAATGTGTTCATCTATTCTGTAAACCTGCAACAAATAATCTCATACTTTTATCAGTTTCATATGCAACTGCCTACCTGATTTGCAGTTCAAAAATGAATATGCAGGTTTCTTCTTCTAAAAGTAGTAGATTTCAAGATGCCATCTGCATTACTTTGCTAACTATGCCATGATTTTTCCTTTGGAAAAGTATTATTTATGGATCACTTGTAAAGAGACAATTAGAGGTATGAAAAAAGTGAGTAACTTTGACTGTTGGATTTCTCTCCTAATAATTCTATATTTCCTTTCCAAAACGATGCCACTAAGCAAATCTATGAAAGGGTGATGCTGCCGTGCGTTCTTTGCTGATTAGCCGAGAGGCTGTGGACCTCTCTCCCTCATAATAATTCGCAAGAATGAAAACACATACATATTGTTATTGCCAGGAAAATGAGAGATGAATAGAAATTAAAAATTAAAACTGAATGAGTAGGAAATTTCTCTAAAAGAATATTAAGGTTTTGTCATCTAGATGCAATAAATTTCTTGGCCAGATATTTTGGTCAATGCTCAATTTATAAAAAAAAAAAAGCATGATAAATAAAGGAAGATTATTATCTAAAAAAGAAGAAGAAAGGAAAAGGTGGAGAAATATGTCCCAGAACTCTTAGACAAGGACCATTTATGCTTGGTCACAGTGAGTGTCAACCTAGGTCAGTGCGCATTGTATAATGTCTTATAGATAACAGGAGTATGGAAAAACAAACGTGCACCACTTACACAATCATTATGGCTCTAAGAATATTTACATATCAAGCAATTATCAATGGAATCAAATAGATATATGACTATATTTCTTTTGATTATCATTGTGGTGTTTCAGAGATTAACTAGAAGCTGTAGAGAGCCAAGAGAACTCAGTGAAGGAGTCACTTAAAGTCACCCTGAATTACTGTGATTGTAGCAACTGTGTCCAAAACAGGTAGCATATTAGAATAAGTGATTGTTAAAGCAACAAGAACTGGCCTACTAAAGAAATATAATTTTAAATGCTTAAAATATGGGTATATTGGGAGGGGTGTGTGTGTTTGTTTTTGATAGCTAGTGCTAAGATCTAAACAAAATATGGTTACTTAAGGTAGTATAAGTGTTTTCTAACTTGGAATATTAGGAACCAATAATACGTTGTTTAAATTATTCTTAAACTGTTGAAAATCTGTGTGTCACCCATAGAACCTATAGTTACCAAACTATAGAATATTACTAAGTATAGGACAGGCCTCATGCAGTATAATCTAGGCATATAATTTATATTTAGGGCTGAAGTATAACACAGAGACCATTGAAGGATCAGTCTTTAAACAATTTAAATTTAAAATTAAGTTTTAATTAAAAAATTATAAATTTAGAGGCTATTAAATCATTTTTATGCTGAACATAAGGAAAAAATGTTTATCCCAATTTATATATTATATATTATACTATATGATGTATTATATTACATTACATTATAATATATGTCATATATAATAATTTTCTTCTCAAAGAACTATTCTCTATCAAACAACCCAATTTTGCCCCTGAAAAGTCCATAATATCAGAATTCTTCTTCCTCAGGTCTGAGTCACTAAGGATTTAAATGCTGACTTCCCCCTAAATATTAGAATCTCTTTAATAAAATAGATCAGACAATTTTTAACCTCGTCAATAAACAAAAGGGTCCTAGGTAGATAGATCAGGCATTGTCTTTGAAACGATGAAAGTGTGAGAAATGATTAAGTGGGATTCTTAACTTCTTATATTTGGTTAGTAAAGATGGTCTCATATTGCTGGTTTCAAAGTCTATCTAGATAAATATTAAATATATTTTATTAATGTTATCTAGATGTACATATACTAAGAATATTAGATATACATGTCACTTTATATATTTACATATAACACAGTTAAACTAAGTTCCATCCCCCAAGTAGATATTATTGCCTAATATACTTACATAATAATTCACTTACCTAGTTATTAGTTTAAAATAACTAATTAATTCACTGCAACAATGATTATTGAGTTAACTTTCCCCATCAAGCAACATGAAATTCTGAAATCAATTTCTCATACATTTAAAGTCTCAAGGGCTATCAATATTAACTGCAATTGATTAGAAACAAACAACAGCAAAACACACGAATATTTGCAGTATCGTTGATTTCCATGAGGACAGTCATTGTCATCTTTAGTACTTTTTCTCAGATCATCTAGCATCAGAGCCACGATTTAGAATGGTGGTATTATTAATAAACATAATATGCTTTAATAAACATATGCTTATAAAACATAAGCAACTTTTATTCTTTTCTTTGTAGAGAATTTAAATCATTTTGCCGAAAGAGATGGTAGGGGACCGTAGCTGAAAGGGTTATTTATGGTGATTTCACGTCACCGGGAATTAAGTTGTTGGATAGGTTGAAAGAGCAAAAGCAGAACTTGCCATATACTTGTACAGGTGACTGCCTACTATTCTAGATAAGGAGTTCATTTTATTTATTTATAAGCTGGTATTTCCTGAATCTAAAGATCATTTCCATAAAACCTAAAGATCGTTCTCTCTATCCAATATTAAGAAGCCGCGCTCTTCCACATGTCAGCATTTTCTGGGTTTTGTAATATTGCATATAATTATCAGATCCTCTTGGTCTTTAACATGCATTAAATTTTTTAAAAATAAAACAACAAAAGGCAGCATCTCAAGAGCGACTTGCTGCCTATGTCAGTGTTCTTCACTAGTATGAATTCAGTGAATCGTGATGCATTTTACTGGGATTTGAAATTTTACAGGAGTCATCAAGACCGCCCTCCCAAACATGGATAGAGAGGCTAAAGACCAGTATTTGCTTGTTATTCAGGCAAAGGATATGGTTGGTCAAAACGGAGGACTCTCAGGAACCACGTCAGTCACCGTGACCCTAACTGATGTCAACGATAACCCCCCTCGCTTTCCTCGGAGTAAGTACCTTATTATGTCACGTGTCACAAGTGCACTAGCTTTCCTTGCCAACCTACAAAAATGTCTTTAAAAAGGGATTTTTCCAAATTCTTCTCAAATCATTATCTTACTACATTCTCCTACAGTTTTGTTTTATCAAGGAGATGATTTTAATTCAGAAATATGGAATAATAAAGCTACTGAAAATAAATAGAAGCAAACATATCTTCGTATTACTTCTGTCTTAAATTATAACATGGTTCTTTTATTTACGTTATTTGAATACGAGACAGTTATGTTTGTTTATGTATTAATGGTTTTATTCTAAGACTTATTTTTTTAAACATTCTGTAAGCTATGTGGTTGTTGCCAATTAGTAATGTAAAAATATTGCTTTATTCATAAAGATAAAAATAGAAGGGTACCCAGCTTTTTCATTCTTTATTTCACACTTTTTTTGACCACTTATGCACAAAGAACATTCCTTTAAGCAATGTTACCACGTCTTTCTTGAGCAAACACTCAGTGTTTTTAAAGAAATCAATCTAAAACACCAGAAAACCCCATGCCTTCAATTTAGTTCCTTTGACCAAAGTGGCTTTTGATTTAACCAAGAAAAAGGAAAAAAGATTGGTAGGTGGCGATGTCCTGATTGTAAAAAAAGCATTTCATCTCACTCTTTTATACTTTTGTTTCTTTTTCATAAGCATATGTGGTACTTCTTTAGAATTCTCAAGAACGTAAGGAAACTGTACAGACTACGTCACTAAAACGCGTGTGTGACAGAAATGGGGAACTTAGCTCTTTTACCATCAGATCTTAGAAGAAAATGTCAAACAAGGAAACTTTCCCTGCAGATGTGATTGTCACTGTGGTTTCCTTCAAATACTGCTTCTTTAGATGTTTCATTTTTATTTTACATATTTTAATATTTATATTATTACGTAACATACATTTCAATACCTTTGGCAAAGAAAAAAAGAAAAAAAATTACCCTAAGTTTAGCATTTTTAAAAAATGGGAACCTATTCTTGGGCTCTTGATGACTTATTATGGGAGGAAGAGGATTGTAGAATTAAAAAAAAGTATAAAGGATAATGTAATTACATTGGGCTCATACTAAAATTAGCTGTTCCTCTTTTCATTAAACCTACAGAGATAACAAGTGGTACCGAGAATTTTTATGGTTTCAGTTGTCGTGATTTGATCAGATAGAACACAGGTCTTCTAGCTTACTAGATCCTGTCTTCCTTATTAAAATGGGGGTAGCCAAGGATATGTCCTTAGGCTTTTCGTTTTTGCTGGGATTTTTCTCCACCATGTAGTTACTATTTGAACTTTGAAATTTTAGGATTTTACTAAGGACACTTCTGGATATGTGAAAACGATCACTAAAAACGATAAGCGTTATTGTAATTTTTTTATAAATCAGGAGTTACAAAATTTAGAAAATTGAAAACTGAAACAATTCTCAGCCTAAAATATGATCCCTTTACATAGATGATGTTTTCCTTTTTGTGTTCCTCTCAGAGAGAATCCTTCTCTCTTTATAATAAAGTGAACGTGCATCACATTTTAACAACCAAAAGGAACTGGAATAAGATAGAGGAAGCAGGAAAAAGTAGATAATTAGAGAAAAATGATGAAGGGGCATAATCTGAGGAGTTTCCTAGTTTTAAGAGGAGTGTTTACGTTCTTCATCTGCTTCCCAAACATTTTAATTTTTTTAGGAGATGTTAACGAGAAATTTTTACAAAAGAAAGATTTTTAAAAGTCATTCTTCCTTTTGTGCTTCTCTTTCTTGCTGTTCAAATAATATTGCTTCTGCTCTTGTACCGTTGTGGCCCCAAATCCATCCTCCATAAAACCCACTCAGGTAATTCTTATTCTTGGTAAATATATGAACTAAAACAAGGCTAACTTTGTCTTCAAAAACTTTCTTGTCCAGTTTTCCGAAACTTTCTTTGTAAAAGAAACTGTTATGTAAATTCCAGCATTAAGTAAGCAGAACTATTTAGGCTCTTGTTCAATGATTGAAGCCTCAACTATTATATAATAAAATACTACCATTAAGTAAGCAGAACTATTTAGGCTCTTATTCAATGTTTGAAGCCTCAACTATTATATAATAAAATATAATAAAATACTATTTTGAGTATTTTATTATATTTTAATTATTGACATTCATTGGTTACATATATGTATAATTATTTTAAATTTATTTTTGTATTTAAAGTAGCACATTTCTCTGGAAATACAGGAATGGAGATTCTTCTTCTGCTTTTCCTCAGGCCAGCTCTTTCTGCTGTAACATAGTGATTATTATCCAGTCGTCCCCATGAAATAACTTGAGGCTACATGAACCTTGTCAGATCTCTCACATTGCCTTAGCATGCTCTTTATCAAAAAATAAAATACAAATTAAGCAAAAATGATGAAAAATAGCCAAATGGTTACATTTTCCTTGTGTAGCTTGGTGTAAGGTTTTGTTCATTTTTTGTTTTGAATGTTACAGGATCTTACCAATATAATGTCCCAGAATCACTGCCGGTGGCCTCTGTGGTGGCCAGAATTAAAGCTTCCGATGCGGATATAGGAGCTAATGCTGAAATGGAATACAAAATTGTGGATGGTGATGGATTAGGGGTTTTCAAGATTTCTGTTGACAAAGACACACAGGAAGGAATCATTACTATACAAAAGGTAATATTTACTTGTTATTTTTGTTTTCTGTAAGGGTAACATCACAGAAATTATTCTATTGAGAAGCCGTATCTGCTTTGATGGAAGAATCTATTAGACAAACTGAATGGCTACATAGAAGAATCATTGTTATTTTAATTTTAATAAGAAAAGCTGTGCATTTATTTGTAGGTGTCAGAATCTTAGGGAAACTTGAATGAAGTTTGTAACCACACCCCATCAATTCTATTTTCTGAGTAAACCAACAGCCCTTATCTCTAGTGCTAGAGCATTAAGGTGTACTGGCAAATGTGCTATTTTAAGTGACCTACTTGGAGAGAGAACTATGGCACTTCGTTGACTATTCTAGTAATGAAACACTAAAATCAGACAAAAGCTTTTATAAGCAAACTGGACAAGCACTCCACATACAGGAAGACAATGAAATAGAAACCAAAGTGTTCAAAACTTGCTGCTACATCACCAATTTTTCTTTATTAAAATTCATACTAATTGAAGTGCTTTAAGAATTCATACAAACACAGCATGGAAAGTCGCGAAGCCTATCATAACGCCTTTGATATAAGTGCAAAGGAGAGAGGCAATCGTTATCATCCAAACTAGAAACTACTCGCCATGGTGTATTTAAATTAGCTCCCAGACTGATCAGATATGGGGGGAAATGAGCTTTATACTCCCTCTGCTCTGTCTAGACATGCTCTTTGATAAATATTAATTTTTAGAAGTGTTGAAAGGAATTGTTACAGGATATAGTCTTATTATCTCAAATATGTGAAACACCAAACATTAAAATATATATGAAAATTCCCATTCTCCAAATGCTGGGATTTTATGCCTGCTTGAAAGTCCAGGTGTGTAACTCTGTAATTAACTCTCCTCAATAATTAACACGCATCAATAATGAAAGTTATATTTTACTTGGTACAGGAAAACATATGTTTGGTTTCAGGCCAATGGGAAAAACATTTTTGCAGTTAGTTCCAGTGGACAGCTGCTGTTTTAGCTCAGCTGGTAACAGTCTGTGTGAAAAAGTTATAATAACTAGGATTGGCCAACTGTTGGTAAAATATTTTGTTTTGTTGTCTAAAATAAAAGGAATGCAATAAGGTACACTGCTGCTCAAATATTTCAAAGATGCATCTGAAATCTCATTCAAGAAGGTTAAAATATATATGGAAATTATTGTCATCGAGCACATGCATATATTTCATATATTATGAGATAGCATAAATAATAAAACAAATATAAATATATACTTGAAATGAAATATTTGATTCAGTATTAGGAAAAAAAAATATCTTTGATTCCTTAATATTATATCTAGATGTTTTAGAGAATTGCTAAAAAGAAAACTATAAAAACTGGATAAAAATGAATTTATTCTCAAAGCATAAAACTAATCAAAAAATTACAAGGTGAAGATTATGACTTACAATAATACGAAGATATAATTATTGCTGTTATAGGTAGTGATTGATATCTGTTAGACTTTGAGTAATATAAGGGCTTTGTCTTACTTGATTTTCTGAGCACTCAAAAAGGTATTATTAGTACAGAAAAAATATGAAAACATAAAATGTCCAATAAAAGAAGAAATGGTTAAATAATTTATGATATTGCCATACTGTGGAATTTTGTGCATCATCAAAATGATGTGATGACATTTCCTTTGCATATTAAGTAATATAGAAAATGATTATAAAAATATAATGTAAAAAATCAGTATCTAAAATTTAATAAACCCTGTTTTAAATTTTAGAAAAATTGCATATTTATATGGAATAAAATTTTTACAAAATAAATTACATTTATATAGAATTTTTCATTGCATGAGAAATGTTAAAATGTTAACAGTAATTATTTCTGGATCTTTATTATGTTTTAATATGTACTATCCATTAGTGATTTTTATAATTACAATGTTATTAGATTCATAAAAATATTAATAGGCCAAAATATATCCCATTAACAGCACTTCGTAATTTGCTTTAATCTTATCATGGATGAAAACCACTTGTCTGAATGCAGGAAGAGTCACAGAGATGTCAGTCAGTGGGTTCAAGTTTTGTCTATTGTTGAAGCTCTCTCGAGTACTAAAAAAGACATCATCCCCTGTCTAGTGAAATGAGATTTAAAAACATTCCAAATCCTTTAAACATTTAGATTAATGGATTTTTAATTTTGGATCTAAGAGATCTGTACCCTTGCACAGCCACCTGAGCGATGTTTTGCACCTACTAAAAACTTGATAATTGGCAAAGATTTGTCAATCAGTCATTATATGAGAAATAAACAAAGTATCTTAATAATTTCTTATGCTAAATGCAAGATCAGATTCTTTGCAACTAGAAATAACTTTTCTTTGTTGTCTTCTAGATTCTTGCAACTAGAACGTTTTCAGATTCTTTGCAACTAGAAATAACTTTTCTTTCTTGTCTTCTAACATATGAACACTGTCCAATTTTTGTTCTTTCTCCTCCTGTGCCTGTTTTCTTGCATAATGTCAGGGATCGTTTGGGGATAATTAAGCACACTCAGTGCACAGGAGAACCCTGAGAAACAATGATGGTGGAGAATTTCAGTTTTACTGCTGTGACATAAGTAACCAGTAAAAACTTCAAGCAAATTTCATTCATTTTGAACTTCTATGAAGTGTAAAACTGAGTCGACATCTAGCTATGAAGTGTCAAGAAACTACATTTAGGCTAAATGCTGAGCTTCCAAAGAAACCGCTTGAAAGCCCAGGTGTTGAACGCTAACTTTATCATTTTGAGTCTTTTAAAGTACTGGTTCATACTGTTTGTATGAACAATAATTTAGACTAAGAAATGAGTAATGGTTTCTTACTTTTAACATGGTTGCTTAAATTTGCTCTAACTTTGCTAACGTGGAAGACCGAGCTGATGTTTAAGTTTTATCTTCATGCGGAGGTATATTTTCCATGTTGGGGCAGAACCATGAGACTCAGAAAGCAAAATAGTCTATATTAACAGATTGACATGATCCTAAGCAGTACGTACTTCTGCAAATTTTAGTGATTATTAACTCATTATATTAAAACGGATGATCTGAAACTCTATTTGAAAAAGGTAAAATTTAAACAAACATATGGCGTTTATAATACACGGATCATATATACGTAGAAATAAGTGAAAATCTCACAGTTTTCTTCATGCTAAAAATCTTCAATGTTAGCATATGTCACCTCACACTTTCTTATTACCCTCATTCTCCACACAGTTCTGAATAAATACTAGATATTGGGGTAACCACCTGGTATACATCAGCCTGACTTTTATTTCCAAAACCCACCTCAATCTCATTTTTTAAAATTGTCATTTCGCATGATCTGCTAATATAACCCAGTGCCTATCCATCTGCAATTCAAACTTAGTGATTACCGAATTTTTTTCCATTTGAAAAATGTATGGCATTATAGATTCATCTGATTTTGGATAAAAAACAACTGTTAAGCCATCATTTTCTCATTTTCAATAATTATTTCAATTATTTATTCATAAACATAGTTCACATTTTACGTGCAGCTACTACATCTGGCACTGTATTATGATCTCGCATTAATCCAGGGTGTGTTCTCTTTAAAAACCTTAAATAAGGTGCATATTCTGATTTCTCACATGGACGTCAAAGAGCTATTGGACCCCTAGAACCGTTTAAACTAGTCTTGCCAGGTATGTATCCCCACCTTCCTCAGTTTCATCCAAAGATCTAGAGTAGACACTGAGCCACTTCCCATTCTTGGAAGCAAGATCAATTTTTTTGTAGCTCTACAAGCAACCCCTCTTCCTTTCGAGTCTCCCGTGTCCCATGCGTACTTACTCTCACCCGTCTTTCAAGTCTGGAAAATTGCTCCTGTTCTTCTTTCCTTAAACCAAATAAGGGAAGTAAAATTGTCTATACAAACTATTTTTTTTGAGGGGGTGGGGTTGTTTGTTTGTTTGTTTTTTAGGCGAGGCAACCCTTGGTCGACCTCACAAATAGCAAGGGCCTTGTCAGCTTACGATCTCTTATTTTTAATTCTTTACGCCTACAGCACCTGGTCTTCCTAAGTGGTCTCCCATCCAAGTACTAACCAGGCTCGACCTTGCTTAGCTTCTGAGATCGGACGGGATCGGGCTTGTTCAGGGTGGCATGGCTGTAGACCAAACTGGTTTTCTTATTTAAGGAAGAATGTGTGTGCGTGTGCGTGTATGTGTGTGTGTGTGTATTTCCCCTGCAATGATGGGAGCTGGTCTAATAAAATGTAATGATGTCTCAGTTCCACAAACACCATAGATTTTTCATAGACTTAGCTGTGGCCACTAGGATGTGGATGAATATCCAAGGCTCGGTAGAAGTGTCCAGGAGAGCTCAGGCCCATCTGCCAGTCCCTCCTAGTATCTTAAAGATTTGAACATGGCCTAAGGAAGGAGTTGAATAGTGGATCGATGACACTTCCCCAGAGAGACGGGGAATGGGGGACCTCCTGTGCAGATTCCCTGTATGAGGCAGCATGCTAAGTTCAGAGAGTGAGAACCAGGACCATCTTCCTGGAGTGTAATGTGGAAGGGGATGCTGGCCCCAGACGGGCAGTGTAAGTGAAAAGGCTTCTTCATGCCCCTATGCCTCCTTCACGACGGCACGGTTGATAACTAAGAACCTATGTGCAATGATTTGCAGATGAGAATGGATTGCAAATAAAGATTATGAAAAGGTATTTTAGGTACAGCTACAATAGAATATACTGTGGGATAGAGAATTACATTATTTTCTAATTTCTCTTGAACCTTATAATTGGAATCGTCTGTGATCTAATTCATTTTAAGCATTTCACTTCTTTTCAGAAGACTGTATCATAATGATTATCGATATTTATTTAATATGTTGTTTCTTTCCTGGTCATAGTCAAATAGTGCACCTTTTATTATTGAGTTTAAAGCCTTGAGGTCATGTCTGGTTTCTTTGCTTGCCCCTTCTTGGTCCATAATAGCTCTCGGCTG